GGTGATGTACATGGGGGGTTGGTTCTTGGCGCAGAACTCAGCAGGAAGCGCAGTGCGGTAGCGAGTGTCACTAGTGCGGAGGTGCGTAATGAGGTCAGCGACTGTGGGAAAGGCAACAAGGTCAGGGAAGAGGTACGGTAGCATGAGGCGGCTCAGTGCAGCAGTGGCAGGGGAGGAGTAGCGCGCAACTACAGCGTCGTACAAGGTGTGAGCACTCTTGTACTGGCTAAAGTGCGCACGCTCAGAGGTAGGCAGGTGGCGACGCACAGCAAGACGTGCAGCAGCATCGCGCGTGGCCCACTGTGAGCGAACAGTGGCGTCAGCATCAGCAGCGGGGGCAGGGGAGGCTCCAGAAGTGAGGTCAAAGAGGGAGAGGCCGTCTGCTCTGTCGCACTGTAAGAAAAGCTGCAGGTCATCTATCCAGACGTCAAAGTCAATGGCCCGACCCTCAGCGTCAAAAGCGAGGACACTAGGGGTAGCCATGACAGCAGTAGACTAGCAGCGCAAACAGTAGGGTGAGGGCAGTGCTGTGAAAGAGGCGCTGCTCTTACCGGACAGGGTGGCTCGGGTGGCTCGGCTGCAGGGCGGCTCGGCGGCTCGGCTGCTGGGCGGCTCGGCGGCTCGGCTGCACGGCGGCTCGGCGGCGCGGCTGCTGGGCGGCTCGGCGGCTCGGCTGCTGGGCGGCTCGGCGGCTCGGCTGCTGGGCGGCTCGGCTGCTGGGCGGCTCGGCGGCTGGGCGGCTCGGCTACTTGGCGGCGCGGCGGGGCCGCTGAGAGGGCGGCGTCCGGGGCCGCTGGGAGGAGGCGGCGAGGCCGCTGAGAGGAGGCAGCGGGGCCGCAGGTAGGTGGCGGGGCCGCTAGTAGGTGGCGGGGCCGCTGGTAGGTGGCGGGGCCGCTGGTAGGTGGCGGGGCCGCAGGTAGGTGGCGGGGCCAGCACAGGTAGGTGGCGGGGCCGCGGGTAGGTGGCGGGGCCGCTGGTAGGTGGCGGGGCCGCAGGTAGGTGGCGGGGCCGCTAGTAGGTGGCGGGGCCGCAGGTAGGTGGCGGGGCCGCACAGGTAGGTGGCGGGGCCGCACAGATAGGTGGCGGGGCCGCGGAGGGCGGCGACGAGCCATAGGGGGCCGTGAGGGGCCGCGAGAGGGGCCGTAAGGGGCGTAAGGGGCCGCGCGAGGGGCCGTAAGGGACGGCGCGAGGGGCCGTAAGGGGCGGCACGAGGGGCCATAAGGGCGGCGCGACGGGCGCGACGGGCCGTAAGGGCGGCACGAAGGGCCGTAAGGGGCGGCGCGACGAGCCGTGAGGGGGCCGCTAAGGGCGACGCGACGGGGCCGTGAGGGGCCTAGCGAGGGCGCGACGGTAGGGGGAGCACACAGGGCGCGACTCGGGCCTGAGCGAAGCGCGCTCCGGGCAGGAAAAAAAAATTCGTGGTGGTGGGCCCTAGGAATCGTTCCCACTAGGGAACCTGCTCGATACCATGAGAAGAAACAAGGAATGAGAATGACTAAGGGAAAGTTGGGTACAAATGCAAACCCTAGAAATCTGTACCCCATATGTGCTACCCCACTATAGCCTACAGTAGCTCTGTCATATAAATCTGACATCTGTCAACTCAGGGTGACGAGAAAGAACAGGCCGTGGGAAGTCAGGCTGTAACTCTGGCTGGGACTGGGAAGGCGGTGGACAAAATAGAGGAGGAGTAGTACCAGTGGTAGACAGGTCTGCAGAGGCAGACGGAAGACGGAGAGCCCGGTGAAGCGCCGAGCCAGGGTGGTGGCAGCGACGACTGCGGCTGCTCCCAGAACAACGGTCGCGGCTGCCGTGGCTGCGCAGCACCCGCAGCTCCAGTACCTCCAGCACTTGAAACTCTAGTACCTCCAGCTCCAGCACCTCCAGTGGAATTACCTCCTACACCAGAAACTCCAGCGCCTCCAGCGGCAGTACTTCCAGCACCAGAACCTCCAGCACCGCCAGCTCCAGTACCTCCAGCTCCAGTACCTCCAGCACCAGAACCTCCAGCACCTTCAGTGGCAGTACCTCCAGTACCAGAGGCTCCAGCACCTCCAGCTCCAGCACCTCCAGAGCCTCCAGCAACGGACTCAGGAAGTGGCGGCGACGACTGCTTCTGCTCCCAGAAGAAAGGGCGCCGCGGCAGAGGCTGCAACGCACCCACAGAACCTCCAGCTGTAGCACCCTCAAATCCACCACCACAAGGACGCTCTACACCCCCAGAACCAGCACCTCCATATTCAACACCCCCAGAACCTCCAGCAATGGACTCTGGAAGTGGCGGCGTCGACTGCTGCTGCTCCCAGAAGAAGGGGCGCCGTGGCAGAGGCTGCAACGCACCCGCAGAACCTTCAGAAGTAGCACCCTCGACTCCACCACCACTAGGACGCTCAGCACCCCAGAACCAGCACCTCCAGAGTCAGCACCCGCAGAACCAGCACCCCCAGAGCCTGCACCTCCGGTGTCACCACCCCCAGCAGCACCAGAGTCCACAGTGACAGGCTGCAGAGGCGGCGTAGACGGCGGAGGCGGAAAACCAGGAGGGGTCTCCAAGCGCGGTGAGCGGCGAGAGGCCGCAGTGTCGTCAGCAGCAGGGTCACCGCCCTCAGCCAGTCCAGAGGGGTCTGAGGAGACCTCCGAAGGCTCAACCAAGGGGTGTGGTGTGACATGAGACACACCAGAGGGAGCAGGACGTGAAGGTGGGGGGAGGGGGTCTACTAGGGGGTAACCTGGAACAAGGAAGAGGGGTGGGAGGGGCATCGGGGAACTGCGGTGGGGGAAGCGACGGTAGTAGCAAACCGACTCGTCAAAGGTGACGACGCGGGAGGACAAGACGCTGCGCTTGACCGGGTGGTAAAACTGACAGTCGGGCGCGTCGTCAGGAAAGCCAAGGAAGACGCAGCTAATGGTGCGAGGGGAGAGCTTGCCCGTGGTAGAATCGCGGACAAGGGCAAGCGAACCCCAGACCCGAAATGCCGACGCATCGCCAACCTCTTCCGTCCAAAGCAGGTAGGCGAGGTCACCGGCTGGGAGACACGGGGCTGGTTGAGCGGATGCGCAGCGTATCGGACCGCAAACGGCCACAGAAATGGGGAGCAGCCGCATGGATCATGGAGGTGCGAGCAACCTCCATGATCAAGCCAATCCGGCGCTCAGCGATCCCATTCTGCTGTGGAGAGGCCGGAAGCATGAACGACTGGGTGATGCCCTCCTCACGACAAAAGTCCTCAAGGAGATCGGAGGAAAACTCACCTCCACGTCTCCCTTGTGCTGCAAGGGAATCACCGTGGTGTAGCGCGTGTAGTCGACGACGACCAGCACGAAGTAGCGCTCCCGGCGCGGCCCCAAGAAGGGGTCGGGGCCCCACACGTCCATGTGCAGTGTCTGTAGAGGACCAGTGGTCGGAGGGAACAAGGAGGAGTGAGGAGCGGCGCGCTGCCGCCACTCAACGCAGGGAGTGCACGGCGGCGCAAGCGAAAGCGGGAGTGGGGGCAGGGACCTCGAGAGGCCAGAGACAAGGAGAGGCGAGTGCATGCGACGCAGACGCTGCAGGGAGGGGTGACCAAGACGGTGGTGCCAGAGGAGAGACGGGTGCGTGAGTAACCGACACGAGCAAGACGCAGCTACCTGATCGGACGCGGCCACCTGTGCAAACTCAGTGTGCAGTGTGTACAGGCCAGACCCAGGCCTCCGAGTGAACGTGGTGAGGTGGTCGCCAGCCACTATGTTCGTATAGATCGCCACGAGCACGCCCCCAGGAGTGGTGGTAGTGACCAACATATCCTGGAGGACAGAGGTACTCACCAAGTTCGTAGCGAACGAGGGGAGGTGGAGACCTATGAGGGAGCTAGAGGGGGCTGCCGGACACGGGAGAACAGTGGAGCCGCGTGCAACGACTGGGCCAGAGGAGGGGTCGATCAGGGTGACAGGGACAGGTGCTGTGAGCGGTGTGATTGTGGTGCAGTTGCGGAAGAAGCACCGAGACGCGCCTGAGTCCAGCGTGAAGGTGTGCAAAGCCTACGCAGGAACTGCACCTGAGTTAACAGACTCACAAGCACCTACACTCGCCTCCTCGACACATGCTAGCGACGACAGCTGTTGCTGCTCCCAGAACAACGGACGCTGCCATTGCTGCTGCTGCTGCTGCTGCCCACCCCCAGAACCTCCACCCCCATACGCTAGCGACGACATGTCGGGGAGGAGAAACGGCAGCGCAAGACGGCCTAGGGTGGCAGGAGGGAGGGAGCAGTAATGCCTAACCACAGCGTCATAGAAAGGCTGGGCCGACGTCACCTGGCAAAAGTGGGCCCTCTGGTCGAGCGACAGGTAAGCGCGGTAAGCAAGCTGGGCGACAACATCGCGTGCAGTCCACCGTGTGCAAGCAATGCGGTCCACCCGATACCGCCGCTGCACTTCCTCCCCAGCGGCGCCAGGGCAGCTCGCGCGGGCAGGCGTGGGGCAGCGGCGGCAGGGCAGCGCGCGCGGGCAGGCGCGGCGTGTGGGGCTGCGTACGGGCAGGCGCGGCGCACGGGCAGCAGCGCGCGGGGCAGCGCGAAGGGGGTAGCGCGAACGGCTCGCAAGGGGCGGCGCGAAGGGCACGCGCGGAGCAGTAAGGGGCAGAGTGCACGAGGGGCAGCAGCGCGTCAGACAGGCTCGGGTAACTAGCGGTAGGTACGGACCTAACCTAGCGTTTGATACCATGGTAAGAAGTGTAAACAGCGGAATGGTGTTTGACTAGCAGAATGGGAGTACAAGTAGGAAACCCTGGAAAGCTGTACCCCCTAAGGCTAGCCCCACTATAGCCTACCAGTATAGAAACATACAGTTTTGACTGTCCAGGCATCACGTCATGCGCCATGACAGAAAGAAGTTGACACCTCTTTTATTCCAGCAAATCAGGCTGACCAAAATGCTAGTGCTAGATATTGGTACAGTTATTCCTAAAGCCAAACCAGGCATATAGCTATAGGATCTAGTCTAGTCATAAACTACCCAGGGTATTAAAGTGGACCTGGTGTTACAATCATCCCAGGGAAGTTGTCCCTGATGAGGCATTCAACATTTTCAGTTTCCGTGCCAATCATCTGGAGACTCTTGAGCCCGTTGAGCCATTGGACACCAGCGACAGTCAGATTCGCATCCCACAGCCCCAGCTTCTCCAGGAATTTCATATTCCTCAGGAGCTTCATGCCGGAATCGGTCACCCCTGGAGGCAGAGTGAGGGCCTTCAGTGCGGTGAGAGCAGTCAGGTGCTGCAGCCCATCCTCCGTCACTCCAGTGTCGTGCAGCCTGAGAGATGTCAGTGCTGTCAACTCGCCCACATGCACCATGCTGGCCGAGGTAACAGAAGAGCACTCAGAAACATCCAGTGCCGTGAGCTGAGTCATCCCTTGCAGCTTCTGTATTCCCACGTCTGTTATCCCATTGTTACCAAGATTGAGTGTGTGAAGACTATTCAGGCCACTGATACCTTCAAGAGCAGCATCCGCTGTGTTTGTAGCTATCAAATTCAGAAGTACGAGGTTCGTGAGAGAGAAGAGCTGTCTCACTCCCGCTGCAGTGAAGCCAGACGCCCCGTTGAGGTTGAGCCACGTGAGCGAGCGCACGGAGGCGAGTCGAGTGAGAGCAACGTCGGTGAGGAGGGAGACGCCGCTAAGGTCTATGCGAGACCTGCCTGAATGAACCTTGGCCCACAGTCCAATCAGTGCCTGCAGCCAAGAGCAGGAACAACGGCAAAACACACAGACAGACAAGCACAACCCGTAATGCAAGATGGGGACTACACAGCATCTATCACGCGCAAGTGAGGCTCAAACTGCGCGCAGTAGAGAAGAGGACTGTATAATTAGCCGAGCAACATTAGTTGGACATGCACCCATGCGACCCACGCATTATCCACATGCTAGAGGCACAACATCCGCGCACCCAGTCGCACTCACCGACCACGTCTTCCTTCCCCCAGCGCTCGTTTTCTCCAGCGCTTCCACTCGCGCCCTCAGCTCCTTCAGCTCATCCTCCGGGTCACCCGCTACGCCACTCTCGCCCTCGTTCGTGTCGCCCACCCTTTCTGCCGCATCCCGCTGTCCTTCAGGCGCACGTCCAACGGCAATAAGCGCAGGTACGGCGCCCGAAGGAGCATCTGCCATCGCTTCCTCCTTGCACGCCTCGTCTCTCTTCCGCTTCTTCCCATCGCGCCTCTCCGCCTCCGCATGCTCCCCCGCTTCTGCCCTGAGCGCCGCGAGCGCCAGCTCGACGTCGTTGATGCGCGCCTCCGAGTGCGCCGCCGTCGCCTTCACGTACGCCACCTCCGCCGCCTGCCGCTCCGCCGCAGCCCTCATCCGCGCAAGTTCCGCCTTAAGCGCGCCCATCTCCCCGCGTACCTCACTTGCCGCGTCCCGCGCCTCCCCCCTCGCCGCTTCCACCTGCGCCTTCACCTCCTCCGCTTCAATCGCAGCAATTTTAAATTCCGGTGCTCCCTTCAGCGGCTGCGCGCCACTGGCCTCCGCCGCTGCCTTTCCTGACGCACTCCCGTCCCGCTCCCCCTCCGCCAAAGCGCCTGTCGCCGCCATGCCCTTGAGGAGGGCCATGGAGCTTCGGATGTCGGCCATGTCGCGCTTCAAAGCAGCCATGGCGTCGCCCTGCTCCCTCAACTTCGCCTCCAACGCCGCTCCTCCACGCCTCCCGCCATCTCCCCCAGCTGCACCTTCAGCACAATGCCGTTCAGCATCTCCTTCAGCCTCAGCTCCATGTCCCTCGTTGCCGTCGCCATTCCCTTCTTTCAAGGCCGTGAGTCTCGTCAAAGTCGAGTTCTGTATGGCTGTGCGCTGCACGTTTACGCACAGCAATTTCAAAGTTGAAGGAGGGTAACAACTTCACTACGGAAAAGGTGACAGTGACTTCGTTGCGCTGGCGAGAGAAACGTGAAACAACTTGGTTTGTTTGGAGATGTATTGTGTGTCGAGGTATTGCGGGGTCTCTCGGCGAGACTGTGTGCTTTATTGATTTCCAAGCAAATGAGATTCGATTCGACCAGGCAAACAAAGCCTTCCAGCCAGCAAACCGAACCAGAGCCAACAAGTCTCATCGTCACTCACAAATGGGCGGTTGGATGTAGGGGACTTGCTGGGAGCGGCCGACGTGCGACTCTCGTTGCGCCCAAGCAAATGTGATTCGACAGACCGCAAAGCAAGTCTGAGAGCTGAGGCAGGTGTGGTGGAACCGAACCAAACTTGGTTCAAAACCCGTATTCGCCTTGGCGTGTGAAGCTCGTAGAAGCAAGCAGGTGTACTTATTTGTCTTTGATATAAGGCATCGTAGAAGTGTGTAAGTAATGGAGAAGGCGGTATAAGAACAATAATGCATTGTTGGCAAACAAGCATGATCTGAAGGCGTTTGGAGTGATGTGTGACTGAAACCTACCGAGATGTTTGAATTTAGGGCGGGGTTAGCGCGTTCATTTTCGCCCCTTTTCCAAACATTTGACACCCCTCGAATCAGGAAGACACTGTAGCATTACTGTACCCTGCTTTGGTTGTGTACAGGGTGGGACACGCGCGTCCAAAAGTAGGCACAGGTCCCGCCACACTTTTGGCTAACCGAAAACCCAATTAGGTAACCACGTGCACCCAATGAGGTAACCCTGTTGCATCAGCGCCTGTTGCGCGCAGTGTTAGAATAAGCAGGCAGGAATGAATGAACTATTAATGAGTTGGGTACAAGTACTAACCCTAAAGTGTTGTACCCCTTGTAGGCTAACCCACTATAGCTTAGGAAGAACACAAACATACAGTTTGACACACCCCCATAGGCTAAGTGGGAGAGAGCAAACACAACAGACGGTCACAAGACCAGTCAAGCAAGAGAACAAAGCAAAGCAAAGCTCAGGGTGGATCTCAAGATCACCACGCATTCTGAGCACAAGCAGGTGGCCACAAGGCCAGTTCACATGCAGAGTTATAATAGTAAGGTAGTACACTGATCACAACCTAGCAAGAGTAAACAGGCACGTATAAAGATATATATATCAGTATACAACAAGAGCAAGTCAAGCAACCAGCAGGTGAGGCAGAGTAGGCACAAGCCCAAGAGCAGTGCAGAAACGCTGATGATCACCAGACCCAATAGCCTTAGTGAAGACATCAGCAGTGTTGGCCCGAGAGGCCACGTAAGCAAGGCGCAGCTGACCACGCTGCTGCAGCTCACACGCAAGGAAGTAGCGAAGAGCAATGTACTTCGTTCTGTGCTCCAGTCTCTGCTCGCGACACAAGGCAAGCATTGCCTTGCTGTCGACGTACAGAACTGGAGGAGAACGAGGCCGCTCCCCCAAGTCGGTCAGTAGGTAGATCAGCCAGCGTAGCTCCTGTGCAGCCATGGCCCCAGCGTAGATCTCGGCCTCACAGCTGGAACCAAGCAGAGAAGAAGAACGAGTGGACCTCCACGAGACAGAACCAGCGCCAAGACTGAAGGTGTAAACCTGTGACGAACGCTGAGTCGCCTGGTCGTCGGCCCAAGAAGCGTCAGAGTGTCCTGTGAGTACCACTGAACTCCGTCCTCCAAGCAACAGCCCCATGCCCGATGTACTGCACAAGTAACGCAGTACCCTCTTCGCAGCATCAAAGTGCACCTTTCGGTGTCTACCGGGTGCCACGTAGCGAGGCAGGAGGCTGAGAGGGTACGCGAGGTCAGGTCGTGTGCACGTCATCAGGTACATGAGGCAACCCACAAGCTCTGGGTACGGACCACTCGGCTCTATGGACTCGTCCGAAGGTGGAGCTGAGAGCGAGTGGCCGCTAGACAGAGGAGTGGGCTGTGGCGAGGACCACGTGAAGCCGAAGCGATGAAGGACCTGGTGCACCATGTGTGACTGATTCAGGGTGATGGTGTGCCGTGCTCTGTCCCGGGTGATCTGCAAGCCAAGATAGCTCCGCAGCTCACCCAGGTCAGTGCAGGTGTGTCTCTCCTGCAGCTCCGCCTTCACTAGGGCCAGTGCCTCAGTGTCAGCAGTAGCAAAAACCAAGTCGCCGACGTACACGAGGATGTAGAACGCCGGCAGAGTAGTGTCTGTGCGTAGAAACAGCGACGGGTCTGCAGTCGAAGGAGCAAACCCAAGAGCCGCAAGTGTCGTCCTCAGTGTGTCGTGCCACTCGCGGGGCGCCTGGCGCAGGCCGTACACTGGTCGCCGTAGGCTCCACTGGGTACCCTCAGGAAACGACCCAGTGAAGCCCTCTAAACGGCACAACCAGATGGCCTCGTGAAGGCTACCCTGCAAGAAAGCTGTGGAGAAGTTGAGGGAGTGCAGCTCGTAGTCACGCTGAGCTGCAACGTGTAGCAACATCCAAAGAGTGGTCATCTTCGGGGTGGGGGAGAAGGTCTGGAAGAAGTCGACCCCCTTTCGCTGACTGAAGCCTCGAGCAACGTAACGGGCCTTGAAGGCAGGCGGAGAACCCGGCGGCCGCTTCACACTGAAAATCCACATACCACTGACGATGTTCGCCCCAGGTGGGGGAACCTCGTCGACGTAGGTGCCTGTGGACTTCTAGGAAGCCATCTCTGCGTCCATGGCTGTCTGCCACTGAGAGGAGTAGGGACCCTCTATCGCCTCTGCGTAAGAGCGCGGGGTGGGGATGTCAAGTGCATCCGGGTCTCCCTCAGGGGCAAGCAGCATGGTCGCGAGATGGGGTGCAGCGGCCGCAAGGCACTCCAGCTCCTCCTGTCTATCCTCAAGAACGTCACAGCCAAGGGCAGTACAGCCAAGGGCAGTCTCACCCCCGACGGACGGAGGACAGGCATGGACAGGGTCAGAAACAAGACTCGCAAGGTAGTCTAGGCGGTACACAGCAGCAAAGTCAACGAGCTCAGCGACTAAGGCAGACGCAGCAGGAGACGAGAACGAAGGGTCAGTCACCACCGTAGCAAGAAAGCGAGTAACAGTCGGACTGGACGCACGAGCAAGGTCATACGGAGGGTTAGCAACGTCAGGAAGAGAGGACGCAGGAGGTAACGGCAGAACAACACGCTGTGGAATAGAGGAAGGAGGGAGTGTCATATCGTGAGTGCCTGGGACAGCCGGAGCACGCTGACGACGAACACGAGGAACACGAGCACGGACAGCAGCTCTAGGCTCGGGCTCAAGGTCAAAGTTGGACTCAAGCTCTCGACGCTCAGGGGTGGAAGCACGAGTCTCAGGCTCTCGACGCTCAGTCAGGGACTGTGTCACCGCAGTGTAGGGAGCAGGAGCAGGCAGTGGGGAGTGCGGTAGCAGCTGCGGCTGTGACTGGTCTGCCGGTGGAAATAGTAACGGAGGAGTAGTACCTGCCACAGGGAAGTCAGTAGCACCTGGCGGAAGACTGAGAGCACCAGCAGCTCCCGTACCTCCAGCATGAGCAGCTCCACCAGTACTCCCAGCAGCACCTCCAGCACCAGTAGTACCAGCACCTCCAGCACCTCTAGCACCTCCAGCACCAGCAGCACCACGAGCTCCGGCAGCGCCAGCACCTCTAGCACCAGCAGTACCTCCAGCACCTCCAGTGCCAGCAGCTCCAGTAGCACCTCCAGCACCTCCAGCACCAGTAGTACCACCTGCTCCGGCAGCTCCAGCACCTCTAGTACGAGCACCTCCAGGACCAGCAGCTCCAGCACCTCCAGTACCTCCAGCTCCAGCTCCAGCGCCTCCAGCACCAGCAGTACCTCCAGCACCTCCAGTGCCAGCAGCTCCAGTAGCACCTCCAGCACCTCCAGCACCAGCAGCACCACCTGCTCCGGCAGCTCCAGCACCTCTAGTACGAGGACCTCCAGGACCAGCAGCTCCAGCACCTCCAGTACCTCCAGCTCCAGAGCCTCCAGCACCAGCAGCACCAGCACCTCTAGGGTCAGTAGCTCCAATAGCACCTTCAACACGAGCAGCACCACCAGCTCCGGCAGCTCCAGTACCTCTAGTACGAGCACCTCCAGGACCAGCAGCTCCCGCAGCTCCAGCACCAGTAGCACCAGCACCTCCAGTGCCAGCAGCTCCAGTACCCCCAGCACCTCCAGTACCAGCAGTACCTCCAGCACCAGCAGCTCCAGTACCTCCAGCTCCAGTACCTCCAGTACTAGCAGCTCCAGTACCTCCAGCACCAGCAGCAGCTCCAGTACCTCCAGCACCAGCAGCACCTCCAGCACCTCCAGCACCAGTAGCACCTCCAGTACCTCCAGGCCTAGCAACTCTAGTACCTCCAGCACCAGTAGCACCTCTAGCACCTCTAGTACCTCCAGTAGTACCTCCAGGCCTAGCAGCTCCAGTACCTCCAGCACCAGCAGCACCTCTAGTACCTCCAGCAGTACCTCCAGCACCTCCAGCACCAGCAGCACCTCTAGTACCTTCAGCAGTACCTCCAGCACCTCCAGCACCTCCAGGACTAGTAGCTCCAGCACCAGCAGGACTGTACCCTCCACCACCAGGACTGCCTCGCCGAACTATCCACGCACGAATCGCCTGCGGCGAGAGCGTCTCAAGTAGATCAGGCTGCGCTGGCTGCCCAGCTCCTGCACCTCCAGTAGTGGTAGATCTAGCACCTCCAGCACCAGCAGCACCTCGAGTACCTCCAGCTCCAGGACCTCCAACAGGGTT